GCCCCGTGCCCCCGAGCGCGACGCAGCTGCCGGCCGCGGCCTTTACCTGCGCAGCTTCCACAGAAACAGCAGGAGCAGCAGCAGCGTCAGGACCACGACCGCGGCGGACATCGAGACGAACTTCGGGGAGAACGCTCGGTCCTGACACGACTCTGGAGCAAAGCGGAGCGGGCGCCGTCGGTTCTCGGCACTGACGGGCGCCCGATCACGCGGCGAACATGCCCTGCCCGCGCGGCGATCCCCTCCCCCGGCCGGCGCCGGCGAGTCCCGCAAATACCCCGGAAGCGGACGTGGGCTCTTCTCCCGGACACACACGCGGCCGTCAGCACGGGAGGCCGTGCGCGCTCAGCCCCCTGCCCCGCACGCCGGCCGGTGCTGGCGCTGGGGTATCCAGGTCGACTTCGGCCGTGATCCATCCATCCATCCATCCATCATCTATCCATCATCATGTATCTATCTTCTATATGTATCTGTCTATCTATCATCTATCAATCATCTATCTATCTATCATCTATACGTATGTATCTAGCATCTATCATCTATCTATCTATAAATTCATCCATCATGTCACCATCCATCCAAGCATCTATCCATCCATCATCTATGCATCATCATGTATCTATCATCTATATGTATCTGTCTATCTATCATCTATGAATCATCTATCTATCATCTGTGTGTATGTATCTATCATCTATCTATCTATAAATTCATCCATCATCTCACCATCCATCCAAGCATCTATCCATCCATCATCTATGTATCATCATGTATCTATCTTCTATATGTATCTGTCTATCTATCATCTATCAATCATCTATCTATCTATGTATCTATCTATCTATAATCTATACGTATGTATCTAGCATCTATCATCTATCTATCTATAAATTCACCCATCATCTCCCCATCCATCCAGGCACCTATCCATCCATCATCTATGTATCATCATGTGTCATCTGTCGGCACATCGACACCTCTATCAGTCTAAGGCCATTTATAAAAGGTGCTTGTTATTGTTCCTGAGTTAATAGAAGGGAAAAGTAAGAATCGGCTGCATGAAGGAGGCGGAAGGGAAGAAGATGCCACCCAAGAAGCCACTTTCACACTGATGTCCGGAGGAGGGACGGAGGTCGTTAGCATTCTCAGGCACTGGCCCGTCCCCGTCCCCCGGGCGTGGTGCTGGCCCGTCCCCGTCCCCCGGGCGTGGTGCTGGCCCGTCCCCAGGCGGCGTCTCCGCCTGCACACATTACCTCGCAGCTCGCCCCGGTGCAGGTGTGCGACCTCTGACCAGTCGCTGGGGTAGGTGTCCGGGCCGTAGCTGGACTCCTCTGTTCTCACTCTGGCCCGCAGGAAATAGCATTTGTCAGCGTCCAGGCCCCCCACGGTGACGTGGCACGCCTCCTCCTCCCTGGACTGCAGTGAGACAGAAACGCGACCATCAGACCTGGACCCCGGCAGTTCCCGTTCCTGCCAGGGGCTCCCGCAAGCCCCGCCGGCCGCCGTCGGCGCCGCCTGTCACTTTCTCTGTCCAAGTCCTTGTCCTCGAAAGAACAACATCGGGAAGCAGATGGGTCCCCACGTCCGTGCTCCCCTCCAAAAAGGAAAAAACATAACAAACCATGTACGGGTGCTTTTCAGACATTACTTACTGGTGACAACTTCTTCCTTTAAAAAAAACAAAAGGCAACGGTGTTTTTGCAAACGCAAAAGGGACACGTGCTGACTTTCGAGAGGGTGGACACCACACACACGCACGCCACAAAGGCCAAGTAAAAAACTTAAAAACGTTTTTGTTTGTAGCGCCAAAATATCGCCACGAGGGAAAAAATTGCTTTTGCGGATTTCCTGCTTTCCGTTCATTTTCGCCAGACCGCGGTGCTCGGCCGCACGCGTGGCTGCTCGCCGCCGACTCCTCCAAACAGCCTGCGAAGGCTGCTTAGATTTTTCTCACACGGCTGGACCGTGATGTATTGGACGGAGCTCCTGCTGCAGGACACGCCGACGCTCCCCGTGCCTTGCATTTTTTTTAAGATCATGCTCCGACGGACACGTGTGTGCTAAAAGCTCATCCGCATTTTCAATTATTTCCTTGCTATCGATGTGTAAAACGGGAAACCAATACGTCAGAAATAGGACCACGTACGGCCTCTCGAAGGCTGTCACCGCTCCACGCCACTGAATAGCATCACGTGGATTAGCTTCCCCGCGGGGTCCCCGAACTCCCGTGTCCCCTGTGGCTTTACTTGGCGTTGCCTTGATGGTCACGATTCTGTCCTCTCGGGTCCAGCTCTGTGTTCCTTCGTCCCCATCCTAACAGGTCCCCAGTCCCTTCTGTGAGGCACGGCCGCCTCGTGAGGGGCCCTCACCCCCATCGTATTTCCTGCTGCATTTACTCCACCCGTGTCACTCGAGGGCGTGTGTTTTGCCAAAACGCTCCACCCTCGTTCCATGCGTCGCGAAGTTTCCAGCTCAGACGATGGTGCGCAGCCGTCGGCAGGACGGAAGCGGACAGAGGCAGTCCGGGCCGCCTGGCTCAGTGATGGGATCTCCGCTGCCACCCACCTTCGCAATTCTTCCTGCGGACACGGAGCCCAGCGCCGTGAAGCAGAAGCGAACGGCCACCAGCAGAACCGTTCCGTTCACACACAGAAGCGTCGCCACACACACGCACGCGGCGATGGGCGCAGGTGCTGAGGAACCACAGACTGTGTGCCCGGGGTCCCCGGACACATGGCCTTCGAACCACGGCAAGGCGGACGGACAGTCATCAAACACCAGAGTGGACGTGGGTGGCCCCGGCCGTGGCGGACCTCAGTGGAGCCGTGGTCCACGGCTGGGTCATCCTTCTGGGTGCAGTCACGTCCCCCGGAAGCAAGCGTGGAAATCCCAAAGGCCCGTGCCCACGAGGGTCGATTTATCTGGAGACAGTCTTTGCAGATGTGAAGAAGTTAGGGTACGCTCGGTAAGGGAGACGAGTAATCTCATGACAGGCGGCATCATAAAAAGGCCACAGACACACACACGCAAAGAAAAGGGACGCAGAGAACGCACAGGTGCAGAAGGGAGAAGCCACACGGACATACATGGAGCGTGCAGAGAGGGACGTGGCCTCGAGACAAGGTGCCCCGAGGGCCACCAGAAGCCACCAGCACCTGGGAGACAGGCTGGCAGCACAGTGTGCCCTGGAGTCCCCAGACAGAAGCAGCCCCGCTGACACTGTGACCCCAGGCTTCCGGGCCCCGCACTGTGGGGGGACTCATCTGTCCGTGGTGTCCCGGGGCGGCCGGTCCCGCAGCCGCGCAGCTGGGCAGCAGGGAAGGGGAACCACAGGCACCGTCTCATTTCGAGGGGAGATCGCAGAGCCCACCTCTCCGGGAGGCACTTCGACCTCACCTGCCAACCGAGCTTGGACCCCAAGCCCCGCGTCCCACGTTCCGCCAGGACTCAGCAGGTGTGCGACACATCACCGCGCTGTGGGCCGTCGGCCTGGAAAAGCCCTCCGCACAGCTCAGCGTTCCCTTGTCTCAGACTCCTTCCGTGCGTGAGCCGCCGCTGCTGTCCTGGGCGACACCAGCCAGCCGAGACCGGCGGGGCCGAGTCCCTGAGAGCGAGTGGGCCAGGGCAGGGAGCCGGGACCGGCCACGGGCCGCCTCTGGGAGCTGGTCCGGCTGGCAGGCCGCCCCGCCTGAGCTCTGGGTCGTGAGGACGCTGTAGCACAGCAGGTGGAGGGCACAGTGACCACGCAGAGGTCAACGCATGGGTGGGACTGTGCACAGGGTGCCAGCGGTTCACAGCCCCCCACCTGACTCTACGTCGCCCCGTGCGGACGCAGAACCTTCTGGAAAAGCCTGCCACCTCCTCGCCTTGCTTCTCAGCGTCCTCGGCCACCTGTCCCCCCCTGTGAGTCTGTCTCTGGTCTCCGGCCTCCTGTGCACGGTCTGTGACAGCAGGAGACTGACCGTCCGTCGACGGGTGTCCCTGCTGCCTCCACGGATGCAGCCAGCTGGGCCGCGGCGAGTGTGACCAGTGCCCAGCAGCAAGAGCCACCACTGACCGGGGCCTTTGACTTGCTCAACACCCAGCAGGTGCATCTCGAGTGAGTCCTGACGGAGGCCCCTGCGGCACGTGCAGGCTCCGCGGAGACCCCGAGTCCTGGGCTGAGACGTCCGTGGGACTCGCCCCGACTCCGGGTCCCCTGCTCTCTGCTCGGGGCCGAGGGGTTCACCCCATCGGCCATGCTCACGGACTCGGAGCCAGAAGGCGTCCCCGAGTATCTAGGAGGCATGGATGGTCTGGATGTAATGACGTGAATTTTATGTCAACTCAGCCAGGCCTGGAATCCGGCTCCTTGGTGCGAAGCCAGGCGAGCTGTCCCCGTGCAGGGACCTGCAGCTGTGATTGACGTTTCTGACCAGCTGACTGCAAGTCCCTCCTTCATGCGGATGGGCCTCGTCTCATCGGTTGAAGGCGTACAAAGCGAGACCCAGCATCCCCGGTGACAAGGAGTCTGGCCCGAGGACCCTACGCGGAGCCTCGCCTGACCGTCCGGCCCGCTGGCCGGGGACGGGCCACTCCACGCGACCACACGACCGAGTCCTCCCAGGCGGACTCAGCACCGAGGGGGCCCGTCCACGTCGGCACCCGGGGACGCGCCCGCACGCCGGCCCCGCGCCGAGCGCACCCCGCTCACCTGCCACTCGGTGTCGAACGTGCTGCGGAGTTGCACCTCGTACAGCAGACCCCTGTAGGACAGGTTAGAGCACGTCACCGTCACCGAGTCCTGATGCCACTGGAAGCTCAGATGCGTCGGGGAGCTGGGTTTCACTGGGGACGAGACACGGCACCGTGATGGCCACCGCGGCCGACACGGGCACCGCACGCGCCCGAAATGACGGGGCCAGGGCTGCTCGGACGCGCGTCCCTCTGCCTCTGCCGACGCTTCCTCTGGCGGCTCATGGGGCTGGGGACGCCCTAAGTCCCGGGGACGCGTTTACTGGGGGTTTTCACTGGAGCTACGAGGATCTGTGTGTGTGTCAGGGAACCGGTGTCCGTGATTAACTTTAGAAACAGGGAGGGCGTCCGCAGAGCTCGTCGGACGCTGAGGCGGAGCTGTGACAGCCCACACCTCGGAGAAACGGAGACTGAAGAGTAGACACTGGAGAGAGGCTGTATTTCTATGGCGTTTCCTGATCCCAGATGCGCGGCTCGGTCTTGAGGCACTTGACAGAAATGGGTGGGCTGGGGCCGGGGGTAGGTGGGGTCCCTTATCCCCGAGCTGGGGGGAGCGCACCGTGCTGCACATTGGGCACATTGCCTTCCGGCGGCGTGAGCCCGCCCACCCGGGCGGGGACGTGGGAGTTTCTCGAGGGCTGGTCCTCCCGGGTTGGGGCAGGACGGGGCCGCCCCGCTGCAGAGGCGGCTGGGGGCTGGGCACTCACAGAAGTCGCTGGTCCACAAGGTCTGGTTGAACAGAGAAGCCGCGCCGTCCCAGAGGGACAGGCTCAGGATCAAGTCCCCTCGTGCGGCCAGCAGGCAGCCGGCTGTGCGGCCGCGTCGCAGAATGTAGTGGGCACACCGGCTGTAAGCCGGGTCCCCGGTGAGGCTGCGGGGGAAGGACAGGACCCCCTGTTGTGGACGGTGACCCGTCTCCTGCCATGCTCCCCGCGAACGGCAGCAAGACCCGTCCACACACTACGCGTCCTCCGAGTCGAATGCTCAGAGCCGCAGAATGTTCCAGACGCACTGCGTGCGCTGTGACCCTCCAAACTCCTGTCCTCGCCCTGGTCCCTGGTCCCTGACAAATGACAACGTGTGTGGGAACAGTGTCTGTGCAGATGTGACTAAGCGAAGGCTCTGAGGTGACATTGTCCGGGAGCAGGTGGCCCTAAACACGTCTGTCCCCGTCAGAGTCACAGGAGGAGAAGCCATGTGGACTCAGAGGCAGAGAAGGGAGGGACGCGGCCACCAGCCCGGGGACACCCGGAGCCACCGGAAGCTGGGCGAGGCAGGAAGGACCCTCCTCTGCGGCCTCCGGAGAGAGCGAGGCCTCAGACACCTGGATGTCACGTGCTGGTCCCCAGGACGGGGAAGGACGCAAGTCCGTTGTTGTAAGACGTGCGCTTTGCAGCAGGCCGTTACGACCGCCCGGGAATTCATGCCAACGGACTTGGGGACGCAGGGTCACCCCGCTCAGATTCGAGGGCCCCGTGAATCAGGGTGGCCCTGAGCCGTTCCTGAATGTCCACAACCATCCTGTCCAGCCTGGGACCAGCTCAGGCTCCGTCCTTAACACCTCAAAGCGCAGCCGCGTCTCGGTTGAGACCTGGCCCTTTTATCAACGAAGACACCGATGCCTGGAAAACTCGGGGGACCATATATGTGCCCCCCCCCCGGAAACGCAGGGCGTCTTGTTTGTGTGAGTCTTGGTTCCCAAATCGAGTCATCTGAAAGTTTCCCTGTTCTGTGCTGCTGTGCGTTTATCTCACGGGTCATCAAACGGCTGACAGGCGACCTCAGGTCACACCCCTCGCCCTGCAGAACCGAAACCATGGGCGCTGGAAAAACCCTTCCTCCCCCTCGAAGCCTGTGCCTCTCAGCGTGGAAGGCGAGGCCCGCAGGAGACACGCTTGTGTCTGCAAAGGGGCCGCGGGCAGCGTGCCGGGACCATCCTGCGGGCCGATCCCGCGGCGCAGAGCCCGCGAACGTGCGTTCCGGCCGCGGCCCCCGGCGGCGAGGACACCCGGGCAGCCAGGCTGCCGCGCTGACACTGGGCGGGTGGGCGTGAGCCTGGCAAACGAGCCCCTTTCCTGAGGACCTATGTGGTTCCGCGTTTGTCCCTGTCATCGCTTCCCGGGAACTGGGGGGGAAACTGTGGCTGCGGCCGAGGTGAGCAGGGGGCCGAGCGCCACGCCTGGCTGCACACGGCGCGTCCTGCTTCCTCCCAGCGTCCCGGCCCGGCCCCGGCCCCGGCCGGCGTCCCGGAGGGAGACGCGTTGGGCGCGGGGCGGCTCGTCCCCTCCCACGACACTCACCGGTACAGCAGCGTCAGATTGGCCGCCGGGAACTGGCTTGCGTTCCACGTCACCTGCACCGTTTCGAAGTTAAAGTTGACGATGTGAAGTTGCAGGGAGTCTCCTGGGCGAAGGGGACAAAGGGAGGAGGCCTTGAGGTCACGGTCACGCCGGGGGGACCTGGCCGGCGGGAACGGGAACGGACGTCAACCCCGTCTCGCGACAACGCTACGCGGCTGCTCCGAAGGCGCAGGCGCCACCATGACCTCCACAGACAAGCCAGGGACATCGCGCCCGGTGGCCACGGGAAACGGCCTGGAACACGGTCGCCTGTCCCCGAAGCTCCCTGTCGCCCTGAAACCTGCGCGCTCGACAACGGCAGGGAGAAGCCGAGGGCGGCCGAGGCCTTCGGTCTCGAAACGAGACGCCGCATTCGGTCGGGGTGGTGTGTGCCGAGGGCGGGTCGGCCACTCTGAGAGCAGGCGACGTGCGTGTTTGAGCACAGGGCGCAGAGGCGGGGACACCGTGGGCGACGAAGCTGGCTCCCCGCCTGCCGGGGAAGCCCGGGGCCGAGTGGAAAAGACGGGAGGTTGGAATGAGGCCTGTGGCGCTGGGTCAGAAGTGGAGGCATAAAAACCCATGATCAGTAGATCGTGGACAGGTGGAGAGACAGGGAGAGAGATGGAGGGACAGAGAGATAGACGATGGGCAGATGGACGGATCAATGGATGGATGAATAGACAAATGATGATGATGATAACCATGATGATGATGATGACGATGATGATGGCTAGATAAATAGGTGATACATGGATGATAGATAATAGACAGCTAGAAACACAGGTACATTTATGATAGATGATAGATAATACATGATACTTAGATCGATGATACATAAATAGAGAGATGATAGATAGATAGATAGATAGATAGATAGATAGATAGATAGATAGATAGATGGATGGACGGACGGACGGACGGACGGACGGACGGACAGACAGATAGATAGATAGATAGATAGATGGATGATCAATGGGTCGATGGGTGGACGGGGCGGAGACAGAGAGCAGATAGATGTAGATTGATAGACACAGAGATGGGCGCACGGGGGGTGGATGAGAGGCCCCCATGTGTGGCACCCAGCAGGATGCAGGTGAGCCGGAGGGGACAGACCCCCGTCCACAGAGGGCTGGGGTCACGGGGTCAGGCACTCGTGTAGCTTGTCCAGCTCTGGGCAGCCCCCCGCCCCTGGAGGAAGACACGAAGACCCCGAGACCCCAGCGCTGTGGGCTCGGCCCCGCTGCTCTGCCTGCTGGGCACGGACAGGGTCCCCGTGCATCCCGTGGTTCAGAGTTCGCCGTGTCCCACGGCACGAGCCCTCACTCATCCAGAGTCAACCCCAAATCCGTCCTGCAGTTTATCCATCTGTGTCCAGATCCGTAAGCAACCGTCCCTCTGCCCACTGCGATCCCATGGGTCAGCGGCTCTCCACCCTGTGGAACTAATCAAGGACCCTCCGCCCGAATGGGAGCAGGCAGAGGCTGTTTCCCCAGACCTCGCTGTAGCGAGGGTGTCCTCCAGCATCACCTGCTGAAGGCCGGCAGTGGGGGTGAGGGGGAGGGAGCGGAGGGAGCGGGGGGCAGCTTCGTGCTGGGCGCAGGGGATGGCTTGGGGGGGGTGGGGGCTGTTGGCCCAGGACGGCGGACATGGTCCCTGGGCGCGGGGTCCCTGGAGGTGGCGTAGAAGGACCTGTCTGGCCCCCTCTGGCTGGCCATGGGTCGGGGGCACTCAGAGGCCTATCCCAGCTTGCGTGTCCCACAGGGGTTCTGGGAATCAGTGCAATGTGGGGGCACGTTTGTGGGTGCGTGAGCCACACTCTCATCTCCTGGGGCGGACACAGCTCTCCTGCTGTGTGCCGTGGCCACTCCTGAAGTCACCCCAAAGTCACCGCTCAGTGTGGGCCGCCCGCAGCTCACTCCCGCTGGACATGAGGGACTCGGGGAGGTCGCCGGGCTGTGGAGATCCCGCCTCCCCGGAGCGGAGTGCCCTTCCCCCGTGCTGACTGCCCTCGAGCCCTCACAGGGAGCAGGTGGCCGCCGCGGTGTCGCCCAGCGTGCAGTCACGGCCCAGCCGCCCGCCGTGGAAAGCGCCTGACCAGTCACCCAGGCGCCTGGGTTGCCAGCAGGACGGCAGACGGGCGTGAGGGTCACTGCGTCCGTCCACGCCCCACACGGGCAGCCAGCCCCCGGGCACAAGGCCAGAGCGTCGACGTTGCCGGGAGGGAGGACTGGGGGCCACTGTCCTCTGCCCTGTCCCATCTCTGCTCAGTGCACCTGCTGCGTGGCCGTTTCCGCTGAGTCTCAGAGAGGCCCGGCTGGGTCCTGCCCAGCGGGCGTCACGGAACCGTGATGGGGACGGGAGGACAGAGGCGTGGGGGGCCGCGCCAGCCCTGTGAGCCGTTCGCGGCCTCGCCGTGGCCGTGCGGTGTCCTCACGGGGCCATAAAGCAGGTTCGGGATGGGCACGCTGTGACCCTTCGGCGTCCTCTGGGGAAATCCAGATGAGAAACGGAGGCTCCGCTCTGTCCGGCGACTCTCCGGGGAGACGCGTCGCCCGCCGGCTCTGCACGGCCTCCCTGCAGGACAGTCCCATCCCGCTGGAAAGGGCGCAAAGCCTTTCAAGATACAAAGCTCTTTGCCCCACGTAGGACCCACGAGTGCCCTTGTCCGCGCTCTGCGGTCATATTCGAAATGTAACGTAAGGGCGTGGGGCCGTCATCCCCCAGGTCCTGGGCAGCTCGGTGTCCAGTCCCAGGCTGCGCGACCAGCTCCCGGGCCGCAAGGACCAGTGTGACCGACCACTGGACAAAGCGTCCACCGCGGAGGTGGGGCCGTGCCAGGCGACCGTGGGCTGCGGGGGACACGTGACCACGCGGCTCCGGCCCCATGAGCTCCGCCCGCCGGCCGCGCTGAGCTCGCCTGTGCGACAGCCTCAGCCGGGTCACTCCCCGCTGCGTCCTGCTCAGCCGCCCGCGAGGCGCTGCGCCGTCCGCTTCCCGCTCGGAAGCAGCGCACGGCTTCCTCCGTCCTCCTCCGGGGAGGACGCGGCCTCGGGGCTGGCGAGCGGCCCCGGTCGCCGTGACGTTTCCCCACCGCTCGGGGAATTCACCGCCGCGGCCGCCCGCCTGCCGGTTCCCAGCTGTCACGCGGGCTCCACGTCCGCCGACCACCGTGGCGTCTGCCCGGTGGCCCCGGCCTCCCTGCTTTCCGGTGCCGGCTGCTGCGCAGAAGGACACCACAGCCGCGTCCCCCACGGCGGCCGCTCACAGCGCACGTGCTGCCCGTTTTCCTGGTCGTTACGAGCTTCTCTCCGATGCTTCACAAGCCACAGGCGTCCAGTGCCCATCGCACAGAGCGTCCCTGAGCGAGGCCGCCATGGCCACGGGAGCCGTTTGTGCGTAGAAAGGGAGACCGACGAGGACTGCGCTGCCCATGTCCACCCCGTCAGCCGTGCATTCCCGCGGCAAGTCCCGCCTCCCCGGAGCCCCCGCGTCCACCCAGGGAAGGCTGCAGGGGACACTGCAGGGAAAAGCCACCGAAGAGGCAAGTCGTGCAGGAGCCGCCCACGCGCGGTCCCGTGCATCGCTCTGAAATTTTTGTGTTTTTTTTTAAAATAAGCCACTTCATTTTGAGCTTTAAAACTCTTGTTTAAGACCCTCCCAGGACACCTCCTGCAGGCATCGTCCGTGCTCCGGACTTGGGGTTGTCTGCATCGACAGGGGTGGCAGCGAATTCCCGCCTCGTTGCCGTGTCCCGACCAGCAGGCATTCCAGTGAGGGACCGCGGGGTCGACGTCTCAAAGTCACCCCCTCGGATACGTAGACTGCACTGTGACCCCTCGCGGCGGAATATTCCTCGGCCGTGGAAAGGAGGGAGGCTGGACACGTGCCACGTATGACGTGCAGGGATCCTGGACACACAATGCTCCGTGACAGACGCAGACGCAGAAGGTGCCACGCGTCTTAAACGTCCGCTGTGGGGACGTTCGCGAAACAGGAAGAGGGTGCGAAGGCCGCGGAGGGGGTGGGGCTGGTTTAATAATGGGATGCGGTCCTTTTGGGGCGATGAGCTAGGTCTCGGATGGCGCGTGGGGACAGCCACACAGCCCCGTGAGTGAGCTGCGCAGCCGTGGACGCGGAGGCCTCGCTGGCCGAGGGCACGCTGCGTGGGCCGCGGCCCTGTACAGCTGTCCCCTTCCTTCCCCGGCGTCCGCTGGCGTCAGCTCACAGCTGCCGGACCCTCGTGCTGAGCAGGGACCCCACGGGCGGTGCCTGACACGGGGCTCCCGATCGCCCACCCGCCACCCCCAGGCGCCTGTGAAACCTCTGGGGCTTCTGAAAAGCTGGCTTTGATGCATCAGCCTCCTGCTCCAGCCTCTTCTCAGAAAAACAAACACGGTGACATATCTGCAGATGAAGAGATTCGCCGCCCCTGGGTCACCGCTTCGATACCAAGAATTTCCTGCTAGAGGCAGAACCCGGTTCCCGGTGAAAAAAAATGCGCGCACGTACAGAGAAGGCGACTGATGAGTGATAAAAATTGCCTTTCATGAGCTCGCGTGCAGCGAGGGACTCTGAACCCGGGTACCGCTGGGCGATTCGCGGCACAGCACGTAAGGCCGGCTCAGGGCACGCGGTGCTCCCTCCCCCTCCCTCCTTCCGTCCTTCCGTCCTCCCGTCCTTCCGTCCTGCCGTCCTCCTGTCCTGCCCTGCTTCTCGCCTTCATTTTCCACGCAGCCGAAGTGCTAACAACAGCGTTGGATCGAGTGCACTTGACATTCACTGCCAGCTGCACGGGGTGCGAGCCCCTGACGCCATCGTCCCCGGGCCCCCTCTCTGACGATAAACTCCCAGCCGTCGCCACACGGAGCACACGCGGGCTGCCGTGACCTTGTCGTGGCTCGCCGCGGCGTCCCCTGTCCCCGTCCTGCGTTCCGTGCTAGTGGCTCTCTGTGTCGCAAGGGCCAGCTGACGGTCCACTCCCAGGGCACAGAGTGCGGTTTCCGGGGCAAAATCCCTTAACAGTCTTGGAAAACTGTCATCGCACCTTGGTGGCTGAAGTGACAGCGGCGGCGACCTCTGGGGTCCCGCCTTTCCGCTACCCTAAGCCATCGACCTCGGGGCTCCTGCTGTGCTGTCATTAGAGGCCACCAAACGCTGCCCGCAAACTCCGAAGGTCCGCGAGGGGCCACACCGAGCTCACGGC